TCAACCTTTACACTAAATCACACACGAAATCTTTAACTTGAACAATGAATAATGAATTTAAACTAGCACACTGATATGCTATGCAAAAACAATTAAGTTAAACATCGAAGATGATCCTAGGTTTCACTGGTCTCCCCGACCTAGTTCGGTACACATCATCTTCCCCCTTCTTCTGGGGGTTTTGCCGGATTGGCTCACTGACATGGCGCCTCACATCAGTCTGGTCAGCCATGTCACCAATGGTTGCCCCCTTGACTCCCTCAGACGCTCCCTGTGTCGTAACATCAGCCGGCTCCTTCGACATAGTCGGGACTACCAGCTCACCAGTTGTGGGCTTACCTACAGCCGTAGGCACATGAGTCACCTTTTCATTTCCAAGAGCGTCATTGGCTCTAGAAACTCGCAAGAACTGTCTGTTACGTTTATACGTTCTACCGTTGCTAGCCGTCACCTCATATGTTCTGCCTTTGAGCTGTTTAGTGACCGTAGCAGGCTTACACTCTTTTAACCCTGTCTGAATCGGTTGCATCCTGACCGAGTCACCGACCTTCAATGGTGGAAGATCATGTCTGAACTCATTCTTACGGCTGGCCCAGCGTTGCTCGCTTGTCGTCCATTTTAGTAACTTCGGCATCCTGGTTCGTTGGTCTTAATTTGTCTAATGTAGTTGGCAACATAGTTTTAGTCTGCCTGCCCACAAGTCTCTGTGCCGGGCTAGTCTGGAGACTCTCCGTTGGTGTGTTTCTTAAGTTGAGCAGTCCGAGATAGGGGTCCTCTCTAGACGCCTTACATTTTCACATGAGTTTTTTCGCTGACTTTACCGCTGCCTCAGCAGCTCCATTGTCCCTGCTATTCCCTGGGCTTGTCATTTCGTGTGTAAAACCCCATTTTGTGCTGAATGTTCTAAACTTCTCCGAGTTGTACTGAGGTCCACCGTCAGTGATAACAGTGTCAGGTATGCCATGTCGGGCGAAATGATGTTTTAGCTTGTCTATGACCGCCGCAGAGTCTGTGTCAATGAAGTAGTCAATTTCAAAGAACTTGCTGTAGTAGTCAACCGTGACCATATATGTTCTACCCTCAAAGGACAACAGGTCATAGCCAACCTTCTCCCACGGACGGCCTGAAATTTCATGCACGAACAATGTTTCTGGTCCTTGCCTATCACTGTATGTAGCACACACATTGCATGCTTCAACATGCTGGCGAATGTCAGCCGACATTCCCGGCCAGAAAACTAACTCACGTGCCCTCCGTAGACAGGAGTTGATGCCCATGTGTCCAGCACGTATCTTGCGTTTGATATCCGCCCGCATGGACCTTGGGATAACTCTTCTCTCACCTCGAAGTATGATACCGTCTTGTGCCGAAAGTTCGTCTCTGTAGTTGAAACACGGAGTGATTGTAGGTGGTAACCGTGATTTGTCATCTGGCCATCCTTTTATGATTGTGCTCTTGAGTTATGTAAACGTCTGATCCTTTTCCGACGCTACCCGAATCTCCTCCAAACGGCCCCTCCTGATGGGAGAGAAGGAAACGTTGTTAACTGTTACAACGTCTGTGACTGGTTTGTCTGGTAGTGGACTGCGAGACAGTGCATCAGCCACGGGTATGGATGTACCTGGTTTATATACAAGTCCAACAACTGCAACAGGGTCCGCAACAGTAGAGACTGTAGTCTCCTGGGTCCCTTTGACAACGGTTATGACACAATCGCTACCAGTGGCTTGTGATCTGTGACTATTGTCACTTTCCAACCGTACGTGTAGTAATGGAATTTTTTCAACCCAAATGCTACAGCGAGCATTTCTTTTTCGATTTGCGCGTATCTTGTCTCTGTGTCTGTCAGAGAACGACTCGCGAATGCTACAGGTCGACCATCTTGGAGCAACACTGACCCCATTCCATATTCCCTAGCATCATTCTCTAATACTAGATCTTTCTTAGGGTCGTAAAATGCAAGAACTGGCGTGTTGGACACCATCTCTTTCACCCACAGGAATGCTTGGTTTTGTGTCGCAGACCACGTCCATGGCACATCCTTCTTCATGAGATTGCGTAGAGGCTGTACCACCTCAGTGAGGTTGGGAAGAAACTTGGCCATGTAGTTCACTAGCCCCAAGAATCGACGTAGACTGTTCATGTTTGTAGGTGGTTTCATCGCCATGACAGCTCTGACTTTCTCATCATCAGTCTGCAAGCCATCTTTTGAGATGCAGTGACCCATGAATGTTAATTCTTCTATTCGCAGCTGGAATTTATTGCTGTTCAGTTTGATCCCCTTTTCGTGACATCTTGCCAGGAATGCATCCAGTACCTGGTCATGTTCTTCGACTGTTGCTGCGGGAATTATCACATTATCGTCAGCCCGCCAAGTGCATCAATGAGTTTTTTCTGAGATTTCAGACGAAACTGATGTGCCGAATGGGAGTCTCAGCCACCTGTATCGTCCGAAACATGTTTGAAATGTCGTGAGCATACTGGACTCTGTGTCTAGTTGAACGTGCCAGTATCCCTGTGCTAGATCGGCCTTCGAGAACACACGGGATTGACTCAACTCATGTAGCATGTTATCTAATATTGGCAGTGTATAATGCTCCTTTTTTAGGGCCTTGTTGAGCTCTCGAGGGTCTAAGCATATCCGCAGCTTGCCAGACTTCTTTTCAGCAATCCTGGGCTGCCTGACCGAAGGGGTTGGTTCATCTACTGGAGTGATGACACTCATCTCTGTCAAACGCTCCAGTTCTGTTTTCAGTCTGGGACGAATTGCAAGTGGTACTCTCCTAGCAGGCATCACTACTGGTATCACTGTGTTGTCCACATTCAGGTGTGACCTACCGTGAAACGTTCCAAGTGTTTCGTCAAACAGAGCGGCATGTCTGTCAGTGATTGCCACAACTGCTACTCTTTCCACTTGCTCCTCGTTGACCACTATCAGTTTCATTTGCTCAGCTGTCTTTAGCCCCAGAAGGGGTGTTAGATCCTCTTTCACCACTGTGAACTCCACTGAATACTTCTTGCCACCCTTAGGGTTACGTACAGTTGTACGACATGTTCCGAGAGGGCTGTATTCGTTGCCATTTCACATCTTTAATTTTTTAGTCGTTGGGGTCACACTTTGTGCAAAACGAGCTGGCAGAATGTTCACAGATGCTCCAGTATCTACCTGGAACACAACATTGTGTTCCCCAATTGACATTAGCCACTTGATCTCTTTATACGGTTTAGGTGATCTGACAGAGTTGAGCCACTCTTGCCCGTCAGATTCACTCGATTCATCTTCTGCCACTCTGTGAACCTCCCTAGCTCGTGGCTGCTTGGAGTTGGGACATTTTTCGCAAAATGATTTCTTTGTTTACATACACTACATGTCTTCCCCCATGCTGGGCATGCAGACTTTACAAACACATGTGAGAGCCCACAGAACTTGCAGCTTTTCTCCTGCGATTGATGTGCCATTCTAAGGGGACGCGTCGCCTTCTGTTTCGGGGCAGTTACTTTGTTGACGGTCTCAGGGCGAAACGTCTTTTATTTCTGCCGCCTTGCACACGTCAATGCATGTCACCAGTGTTAGGTTTCTCTCTTTCAACAAAGCCTGCTGCGTACTAGAGTCGTGTATACCTAACACGATTCTGTCCCTGATGATGGATGAAACGCAGCTGTCACAATAATTGCATGTCCTCACTAATGACCTTATGCTGGCGTGAAAATATTCAAAGCTTTCAAACTCTTTTTGGTCTCTTTTGTTGAACAAATAGCGCTTGTAGGTTTCGTTGATTTCCCCAATTGCAAATTTGTCAAACTGCTCTAAGACTTCATCTACAGTTCTCTGTGATGCAGGTGTGCTGAACTGGAAACCGTTATATGCCTTGAGGGCTTCCTCCCCTAATGTATGCAACAACAGAGCTACTTGGTATTCTCTTGCCTGAGCTGCTAGACTTGTGATTATTGCATAGTTACCCCACTTTTGTTTGAATATTTTCCAGTTCTCTGCAGGAGTACATTCAAAACACACGGGCTGTGGTGGTCGTATGCCAGGTACCGGTCGCGGTTGCACCGGATGTTGGTCTTGACCATTCACACCTCTGTGGGTGGTCTCTTCCTCAGCACCAGCCTCGGCGAAATTAACGCCGTCTTGGCCCTCTGCCATGTTTGCTTTTACTTGGGCTAATATACAATTAGCGACTTGTCAACACTCGTAGGCAGACAGTACACCACAGTTAAAATGTTAACCATGCAGGCACACACGATACACGTGCGACAGAGCAAAGTTCCAGAACAATCGATCCATCATTCAAGCGAGTCTTTATGGCTAGCTCTAGTAACTTGCGCTTTCTTGCATGACTGTTCATGTAGACATCGGCGTGCGTAGTTCGTTTACACGCTGCCACCATGTTACGTGTTGCATCTTACTAAATGATGCATCAACACAGTAATATGGCATTCTGTACTGTCAGTGTGTTACATGTAACGTATGCCACTGCAAGTGGCCACTGCCAGTGCCAGTGCATGTGGTGGTGGTACTGTGTAGTTTTTGCCTGCGTTAATTAGTTACAGGTGGTAGCAATCTATTTCAGCCTGTAGGCTTGCGTAGGTAAATGGATGTGTGCTTACCTATTCTGTCTTGCAAATAGTTGTTACTACTACGTACGATGGGAGCTTCCATCTTTAATCTGAAGACACTTAAACATACGCGCCATCTTGTGGCAACTTTCATAACGAATCCAACGAACATTCCTTTGAGAAGGTTCCTGATTCCCTCCCTGTGCATTCCACTGTTTCGGCGTGTATGTGAACACATTTGGGACTAACAGGGTTTACTAGAATCCTACCACTCCACCACAGAGTCACGCAATAGACGTTAGATGAGCGCTGTCGCTCCGCGGCACTTGTTTCTAAAACGCGGCCATTTACTACAGACACTACGCATTACTACTGACAATAGCTCGCCTAAAGATAGAAGTCATGAAGCACACCTTGACAATTCTTCCACCGAGAGAAATTTTCTGATGGGGCGGGTCTCTTTTTAATATTTTAAATGTCTTGCTTGGACCAATGACCCTCTAAACGAATCCTCTTAGATGCGATACGTCTATCCCAAGCAACTGTCTCTGCATGAAGTTAGGATTTCCCTTTGAGCATTGACGGCGTGATCCACCATAGCTATCACTGACATAATTAACAAGGCCTGTGTCACCTAATGTATACATGCCCCAACTTGGGTGACTCGCGGTTCTAGTAAAGTTTGGTTTGGTAGTAGTTCTATCAAAATAGTCGTAACAAACCGATCGCCGGTGGTTATAAACTTACGCGGCTAGCTTTTCTAGTACCTAGACACATCTCAGTCATCTGACTATTTATTCGATTATATCAACAGACATAGAGCAAAACTTATATATTGGGTTAAAGGGAGAATTGTACTATCAGGAGCTCTTAAAGTTAGGTATAAATATGTTCGATTTGTTCTGATGTGTTGATCAAAATATAGGATCGTCGTAGGCGTTTAAAGTGAGCATGCTACTCTGTGTTAGGACAGATGTACTAATTCCATATGAATGTGACATTTGATCGACTGTTTTGCTGTCGTGTTGGGTATATGTGGAATCCGATCTAGAACCAAATGACAACGAACTGTTGGGCAACATTATTGCTGGTAGCAGACGTTGCGGCTGTATTATATCATATATGTATGTATGCTTGGCACCGTAACCTCTCCATGCTGTTTGCTCGCTTAAT